GGTTTCAGGACCGTTTTACAGATGTGGATGTGGTGTGAACTGTCACTGTTTTCTATGTACTGTATACTCCTGAGCAGTAAAAATAGAAAAAAAAACACATTTTTGTTGTTCTTTCTTCACTTCAACAGTAACTGCAAGTTTTCTTGGTGGTTCAGTGGTTAGCACCGTTGCCCCCAGCAAGAAGGTCAGGATCGTTATCCGGCTTCTGCAGAGCTTGATGATGAGCTGATCATTTGAATCAGGTGTGTTGGAAGAAGGAAACATCTAAAACATGCAGGATTGCGACCCTCGAGGACCAGAGTTCGACACCCCTGATAAAAAGTGATCACAGAAAATGTAGGAAAGTATTTAACAGAATCTTTACCATGTGGAGGCATTTTTTGTTCTATTTCCTGTATAATTTTGTACAGTAATAATGTTATTTTTTACATTAGGGATGGAAACCTTCATTATAAACACTACTTATCCTTAATGTTTAAGTTTATTTAAGTCATTTAAGCTGGTTTTATATGAACCATTGTGGGGTCCTAACCCTAATATCTAAAATTTTACTTTAACCTTATTTCTTCACTAGAAAACAGTTTGCATCAACATCTGTTGTTTTAAATGTGTTCTATAAATAACATTGAGCTGACATCACTTAACAATTCCATCCATTTCTGTCCTGCGGCTTTTTTCCGCACCACAAGTGGTCCAACAGTCCATTAGAGGGGTCGCTGAAGCATTCAGCAGCTTAAAATAAAGAAGATGAGTGTCATGATGAGGAACTTCTCACATTCTGGCCACTCACTAGTTGCTCTTCTTAATCGTTATAACTTTTATTGAAGGTTTAGTTTTATAAATACACTCGAGGCAAAATAATGCCGAAATTTTCTTTGCTGTTGCTTCATAGTAACATTTTCACAGTTTGTTTTCTTTAAATGTCACTTAAAATACATTTAGACACCCGGAAATCTGTTAACAAAACATATATAAAAGGGCCACAGACAGTGTGAAGGCCTTTAACTGTGTTTTCATCATATCAAGCCGCCTACAGGAAAACAAACTGAGAGGAAGCTTTGGTTTCTATAGAATGCCAACTATTTTTAACACATCTAAGTAAACAAACTAAAGAGATTTGCTCCTACTGGTACTGTCACTCCACTACAGTTCCGAGGGAGATGTTCTTTTCACTCCACTACATTTCTCTGACAGCTGTTAAGGAGTTTTAGGTTTGAATTTTTCCAGCATGTTTTTCTTGTGATCAGTCACAAAAAAAGTTATTTTCAGTTTAATGTTACAGATATTTCATTTCTAAACTTTTAACTTTGGGCTCAGCTCAACGAGCCACCGGTGACCTTCAATGAGGAGAATAATTCCAGCAAACAGAACCTGAACCTGAACAGTTTGGAGCAACAAAACAACCACCACAGTCTGAATTGATTTTATTTATTTTTTAAGTTTTGTTTGTTGCAGTAGTTTTGGAGTGTATAGTAATAGGTGAAAATGCCAATTTTGATCATTTAAAATGAAACTGACACCATTTAAAAATGTTTTCAGACTTGTATACCTGGACATTTTCTAAGTTGAGAATTTAGTTTTGATTTTTAATACATTTAGAAAGGTTCTAATAAGACATATCTGTACTTTTTTCCTAATGATGATGTAGGGTTTTTTTTTTTTGTTCTTCATAAGTTCAGATAAATTAAATCTGTAACACTGTAGAACAGGGGTGTCGACATCCGGTCCTCGAGGGCCGCAATCCTGTATGTTTTAGATGTGTCCCTTTTCCAACACACCTGATTCAAATGATCAGGATGTTATCAGACTTCTGCAGAGCTTGATGATGAACTGATCATTTGAATCAGGTGTGTTGGAAGAGGGACACATCTAAAACATACAGGATTGCGGCCCTCGAGGACCGCAGTTTGACACCCCTGCTGTAGAACCTCTAAAAAGTAAAGAGGTCCGCACACAGCTGAGGAGACTGAGGTCCTCTGGATTGTGCAGGACTCTGCTCCGGACATGACACTGTGGTGGCATCGGTGCTCTTTTCTATGCAGTGGTCTGCTGGGGAGGAGGGAGCACAGACAGCGACAGAAAGAGACTGAACAGACTGGTCAGGAGGGCCGGTTCTGTCCTGGACTGCTCCCTGGACTCCATAGAGGAGGTGGGTAAATGGTCACTTATATAGAACTTTTATCCAAAGCACTTTACAATGTGTTTCTCATTCACCCATTCACATACACATTCATACACCAATGGCGACAAGGTGCAAGGTGCTGCCTGCCATTGGGAGCAACTTCAGGTTCAGTGTCTTGCCCAAGGACACTATGACTGTGGAGGGGCAGGGGATCAACCCACCAACCTTGCGATTAGAGGACAACCCGCTCTACCACCTGAGCCACAGCCGCCCACAGCTGGGTGAAAGGAGATCATAGACAACCCCTCTCACCCGCTGCATGAGACTGTGGGGGCTTTAAGTAGCTCTTTCAGGAGCAGACTGAGACATCCATCCTGCAAGAAGGAGCGCGACCACAGGTCATTCCCACCAACTGCAATAAGACTGTACAACATCAGCATCACTGGCTGATGTTAACCAAACGGACAAAATTAACACGTGGTCAAAATTCACTTTTTCACTGCTAATTTGCACAATCTGGTTCTTTTTCAGTGCAAATACTGTAAAAGAAAATTTCATTCAATTGTATATTTTTGTCATCTTGTGTATGTACTTACTTTATTGCTTAATTATTATTTCCTAGTCCTTCTTTTCTGTATTTCTTGGATGCTGCTGTGGCGCATACGTTTCCCCCAATGGGCCATCAATAAAATAAATATTCTATTCTCTTCTACTCTGTGTAACTTTCACATGCAGGTAAACAAATACCGATACGCAACATCCTCAGATGCACGTTGAGGAGGCCGCTACGCTACCAGACGTCCTGTAAGGTGAAACACAAAAACGATTTGTTTTGTGACTTTTATTAAGAAAACAAAACCATTGGACATGATAAAAACCAAGCACTACTGATGGAATAAATAAGTCAAACCAAACCATAAATCTGTACAAGTTCAAAAGAAAAAACAAAATGGTCCCAAGAAAAGAAAACAAAAACAAAAAAAGAAAACAACATACAAGATTTTATATCTCACAGCTCGTCTTTTTTTGTTGCTTTTTTTAAAACACAGTTATGAGCAAACTATAAGCAATTGGCTCGATCAGGTGAAAGCTACAACATAAGTGAGACTTTTTTCTTAAACTGAGTGTACATAATGCTGTTTATAACTGTTAATGTCAATACAATAGCATTTTAAGTTCCAGCGCTGCTGGACTGGGAATGAGGTATATGCTAATCCATCCTCTAAACTGAGACAATTATCATTTTTAGTTTCTTTTCTCTCCATCCATGTGAATGCTGATTTGTTGAAATCAGTCATCTGTAGCCCCTGTTATGTTATGAAGTCATTGGTTTGCAGTGATTCAATTCATCTCAATCCATACTCACAATATTGACTCATAAATGTGACACGTGTGAGGTTTGCACATTAGAGGTCATAGGTCTGAATCCGTACGAGAAAGTTCAAGTAAATTTGCACAAATCTGCACAAAACCGAGAGCTGGATGCCACGCAGGTATGGATTCAGCCGACAGACAGCACCTTGAAGGAGGATCAAAACCAATGTTTGAGCTAAAAGACTGGACCCTTCTGTGGGGAGCTACACAAACACCTGCAGGTCGAAGATAAGTAGTGATACACAGAACACTGACAGAGGAGAAATGTGACGGGAAAACCAGAAACTGCTCTGCTCCGACTTCAGGCGCACAAAAACCACCTGAAGACGACGCAGATCAACAACCAGGAGATCGGACTAATGAGGTGTGCAGATGGTCAAATTAACTTCTGAGTAGTGTTCAAATTCCACTTTTAAAGGAAAAAATGCGCTCATTTGCTTCCTTACTGAGAGCTGTGTGAGTAGACTGAAGCCACTGCAGCACTAAGAGATGGTTTGCTCAGCAACAAGTCATTCAACAAGTTGTCAGCCACTATGATAAAAAAAAAAGTCTATACTGTCTGATTATAGGTTCTTCAATGTGTTATTTTCTGTTTTTTCCCCCTCCTTTTTGACAGTAAATGGGTATTTTGGGGTTGTGGACAATCCTGGACTTTGGGAAACACTGATCAACATTTTTCAGAATTTGTCTCACTTTTTGTGGACCAAATTAGAAATCAAGAAAATAACTGACAATAATAAATCGACAGTCAAAGCAATTATTTGTTGCAGTTCTACTGCAAAAAAAAAAAAAAAAACCTCCACTTTATCAAACCTCTAACACTCAGTGGCTTGTTGGCTAGTTTCCCTCCAGGTGAGGTCATGTGCCCAGAAGTAACCTGGCACACAACAGTGAGATGCACTGAGCTGCACCTAGCAGCACCCCTAAAGCTCACCAATTAACGTGCTGAATTTCATTTCATTCATACAAAAACAAAGTGTAAAACAAGATCCGTTGTGGTTTCACAGAGAGTTATGTGCCAGACTGTTTCTGAGACAGAAGCAGCGACTTTCTGGAGGAAAACTTCAGAAATGTAACGTGTAAACAACGCCACAGTTTGCTTTGTGGAGTCGGGCTGAACCAATCAAAATCTGAATCGATGTAATCAGAAAATTACAGAGGTTGCAATTTAGGATATATGTTGTGCAACACAGAGTTTGAACTGTGGCTGTGGCGTTACAGATCCATCCTCATGCGACAGTCACACTTCTGATGGTGTGAAAACCCTCCATCACATCATCGTCTATCACACAGTCAATACTGAACTGCAGCTAAAACAATTAGAGCAAAACTCTCATCACAGTATCTCTCAGAAAAATCTAATTTAAGATATTTTCCTCAAATTGTTCAGTTCTAGTGCGGAACACAGAGACAAACCCCAAATATGAAATCCTGTTTGTACAGATCCATGTTCTGGAAGCAGCAGCAGCAGATGAGAAGAGATGCTGTTTGGCCTCAGAGACTTTGGAAGTTTTAGAAGTAAAGCTGAATGATTTGGGGAAAATATTTTTGCGATACAAATAATTTGAAAGTATCACTGTAACAAACATCCTGTGATGGAGAAGATTTCTACGAGACGCCATCAGAGGTGCAGCTGTCACACAAGTAGACCAGCATGAGTTTATGAACCCACTGTCCCATTTTAAACCCCGCTATAAAACGTAGGAGGTGTGGCTGTGAAATAATGACACTGTGCTTTAGAGCTGCAACAATTAACCGATGAATGGATTAGTCGTCAACTATTGAATTAATCTCAAACAATTTAGGGATTCGGTTCATCAAATGGAGGAATTTTTTTTTTCCTCCAAATCCAGATCCTAATATTGAATATTTTTTTCATTTTGTTTCTCATTTTACAGACCAAACAGTCAATCAGGAACACATTGAACAGATTCATCCAAATAACGCAAATAAAGCTATTAATGCTAATGACGGTTGGGTTTGTCACTTCTCAAACATTCATCTTTGATCAGAATAAACAACCAACAATGTTTCAATCTGCTCAAATGGTATCAAATTAAACTACAGTTTCATTATTTAATAACCACACTTCTTAAGTCCTCCATTGCAGCCTTTGTCATTTGCTGATTTCCACTTTGCTCCAGTTAAAAGGTGGATTTTATCTCTTGACTGTTTCCCTTTGTTTCCAGCCGTTATGCTAAGCTAAGCTAAGCTAAGCTAACCATCTCCTGGCTGCAGCAAACCTCCGTCTGCTCTCTGCAAGAAAGCAAATGTTTCCCAAAATGTTTAACTATTCCTTTAACCAAACTGTTGTGATTGAGTATAAATATTGGATATAACTAATTAGTGACAATTATAAGGCAAAAAAAACCCCCAAAACAAAACAAAAAAAACAAATAAAACATGGCACCAAAATTGTAATTCAAAACCTGCTTGACCTAAAACGTGTATTTAAAATCGTAGCAACTCAAGGCACACCTCCAGGACCTACGCTACCGGCCTTCACTACTTATCCAAGAGTTTATCTCGTTCAGTACCGTCGTCTTCTTCCTCTACGAACCACAAACTAATTCACTTTAAAAAACACGTGAATGGAGAAAAAAGACATCCACTACAGCAGCAAATCTATCTGTGATCGATTGTGACATACCATAACAGTGCATTGACCCTCCTGAGAAAAAAACCCTAAACGTTTCCTAAACAAATATAGAACATTAGTCTAACAGGAGGCGAATCGGGAGGATTGAAGCGACGTGGTCATGGGGTGGAGGTTTCCCCTCCCGCGGCCGCTGATCTGAGACCGGGTTAGCCTCCTGAGCTAAACCGTTAGCAGTGATTAGAAAGCGGTCTCAGAGCAGCGTCTGCGGCCGACCTCGTCCTCGTCTCAGATCCCCAGTGTTTACTCTTTTAGTCACAGATGCAGGTCAGTGTTTGTCGTCTGGCCTGGCGGTGGCTGGGCTGACAGCGCCGCCCCTGGTCGCAGAGGGGGTTGCAGCCAGGGGGTCGACACTTTCTCTTGGCATTAGTGAAGAGTGTGGAGGACTGGAAGGAAGCACGGAGGGGACCAGAGGTAATATCCATTCTCCCTCTGTGGCAGGGGAGTGTTAGAGGGGGAGGGAGGGAGGCAGGGAGATGTCCATTCTCCCTTTGGTATTGAAGAGTTTGGGTAGAGTAGGGGAGAGGGGGGAAAAAAAGAGGAGTGAGAGGAGAGCCGGTGTGTCCATTAGCCCTAAATCATCTAGAGTTAATGGGGGAGGTACAGAGAGAGGGGACGGGTGAGGGAAGGAGAGAATCACTCAGCCCCAAACATTTAACTCTCCTCAAAGTCCTGAGACGAGGACTCCAGTTTGCTTTTCTTGCTGGGCGGGGCCTCCTCCTCCAGGTCCTACAGGGAGACACACAAACATGAGTCATGTGTGCAGCCAGAAGTAGCAACAACAAACAGCACAGTCTGTTTATTTGTTTGTTTGTGTTCAGCTAAAATATAGAACAGTGGTCCTCAACGTTTTTTTCTCGCAGATTAATCGTAGCTACTGGACTTGCTTGAGTTCCTTGAAGACGTTTCACCTCTCATCCAAGAGGCAGATCAGAACTGATGAAGCCTCTTGAATGAGAGGTGAAACGTCTTCAAGGAACTCATGCAGGTACAGCTGCTATGATTAATCTATGAGAACAACCATGACCTGGATGACTGAGAATCTTCACAGACGTCGCAACCTTTTTTGCACCACAGACCGGTTTCTAGCAAGACAATTTTCTACAGACCGGTCATCGTGCAAATAACGAATAATAATCATTTCTACCAATAAAAAAAAGTGTCAGACTAATCAAATGACTTTCTATTGCTAAATATGTGTTTACTTTTTCTTCTGTCTCAGCATCGAGTCTCTTCCTCTTTTCAAAGAAGCTCTCCAGAGACGTTTGTTTTTCATTCATTTCGGCACCGGCGGGACTCAAGTTTGGGAAACAAGCACAGGCGGAAGTGACAGGAAGACGATCTAGTCATTTTTCAAAATAAAACACCCTGCAGAGTCCACCGGAAATAAAATGAACTAACAAAACGTTTTTGTTCTTTCTGTGCAGCCCAGTACCAAATGACCCACAACCAGGAACCGGTCCGCGGCCCGGTGGTTGGGGACCGCTGATGTAGAATAATGAAAGTAATTTTCTATTTTCACCTCACAGCAGAGTCGCTCGTGGCTTCTCGGTTGAGCGAAGAACTGCAGAATTTTTAGTGTTTCACTAAATCTGATGCAAACGGTATATTTTAGAGGAATTCTGAAATGAGACATGTACAGTAAAGTGATTTTTAACAACATATTGTTCTACTAAAGCTTAGCTTGGGTTCATTTCTCCAGTCCTCAAGTACTTTATTAAGTCCTCGTCTGCCGTTTTTCCAGAGAAAGCTGCGTTAGTTTACTAGAAACAGCTGCTGATGTGTCAGAATGTGAACACATCAAACATGAGTAAGAAAACATGTTTTTTTGTGTGTAATTTTGGTGAGCTTTAGATTATTTACATCCATCCCTACACTGATAAACAAGCTGGTGTAGTTTCATGCAGACATGTTGGTACCTGAGTGGCTTTGCTGTCTGAAGAGTCCTTCTCCCCTGAGGACAGACTTTCTCTCTTGGCACTTTGTGCTCTCTCTGAGGTCTCTGATGAAGGGATGGTCTTACCTGAAGATTGGAAAACAGAAACACATCAAAACAGAAGCTCACTTCTTCACTTGGCAGTAAATACAGACCAGGACTAAACACTGAACACTGGACTGTGCTGCAGCTGCAGGCTCTGTTTTCTGACCCGTTAATGACACTGTGTGGCTGAGAGAAGTAACTGCATAGTTTGATGACCACAAACATCCCTGAACCTGGATGGACACAATTTAGTCTTTTTTTTTAAATGCAAAACTGCTTTTGAATCTACAGCTTTAACTTGACAGTAATATTTGTATTATTTTCTGACATGTTGCTGATATTAATCATTAGTTGGAGTCACACTTTTCAGACATGAATACATAAAATTGTTGGCTTCTGTTTCATTAAAGCTGATGGCTTTTTGTAAATGCTTCTAACAACTTCATGTCAGTAAGAAGAGTGTTTGTTTTCTGACAGGCTGCATCACTGATCGACTTCTAAAACTTCTGTCTCTGCTCAATCCATAATAATTGACCATCACTGATCGAGGCCCTTCTTCTAACAGTAAATCTTACATTTCAATGTTTGACATCATTACAAAGTTGTCAAGTTAAATTCATTTGCTCTGTGGATGTTCATTCATTCATTCATTCATTCATTCATTCATTCAACTGTCTTTGCAGTTGTCATCAGAGCTGAAACTAACAATTATTCTCATGATCAGTCTATTATTGGTTTGTCAGAAAACAGTTGAAAAATAGCCTTTATAGTCATTACAAAAGCCATTTGTCGTGATTCACGTCCCCACTGCCCGAGATGACGTCTTCAAATTGCTTTTAGTTGTTGGACCAACAGTCAGAACTAAAGGATATTAAATTAACTGTCATGAAGGACAAAGAAAAGCAGCAAAGCCTCTCATTAAAGAAGCCAGCAGCCAGTGACTATTCTGCATTTTCACTTGAGAAATAAACGCATTACAGATACATATTTCATTGAATAATTGTCAAAAATGTAATTACACACAACTGGAATAAGAGTTTTGACCAGCCGAAGCAATGTGGCGCTGATATGACAGCCACGTTGGAGAAGCCTGAGCCCAAAGTTGTTGTAACTTTCGACCACAAATCTCTAATGAACGCAGCTCTTGTTCTCTACAAACTCTTTGCTATCAAGCTCTTTCTATTTTACAGCATTTTTTCGTCACCGTTACTTCTGCTGACACAGATGAGCAGCATCAGCCACAACAGCTCCGACTAGATAAGACGATGTTTGAGAGGTCTGCAGCTGATATTCTGTCAAGTCCAAACTTAACTGTTATTAGATCTCTAACTGTCGTATTGGCTGGTCAGAATGACATTAGAGATGTCTGGAAGAAAAGTTCTGACTCGTTACAGTGTGACCACGACTCGTCAGATGGATGTTGTCACTCCTTGCCATAGATGGTTGACAGTCTCGAGGGGCGCTGCATGGCCACAGCTGCACTGAGTCTCTTTATGAGTCTTCCACTGTGGGAAGGTAGTCATTTTAATTTTCTCTCAGTCTGACGGTGTTTGTCAAATCAAATTAAGTCAAGTTTATTTTCATTTTGCTGTACAGACACAGCAGTACAGGCAAGATGAGAGAGCGTTTCTTCAGGATCATTTAATTAGTACGTTTTGTGGAATGCACGTCTGGGATAAGACACTAAACGTTCACTCTCGCCGTCTCCTGAAGGTGTCGCTGCGTCTATACGCGCCGCCATCATGTCCTCAGACAAAACCAGAAGTAGCTGTTTCTCCACGTCTACCACCTGCTTGCTGCCCACCAGGTATAAATGAAGGCCAGCGAGGAGCTGCTTTAGATGGAGCTATTGTTTAAAAGCCTGCTGGTGGTTGTGTGTGCGAGCGCCTCACCCCTCTTGCTGTCCGGGCTCTGGTCAGTCTTGGTCTCACTGCTGTCGCGGTGCGATGCGGTGGTGGGCTCCGGGGCGGGGCTGGTGCTACAACTGTTTTCCTGTTTCACCGGGGATGAGTCGGCGATGGAACTCTGGTTGCTGTTGTCATCTAGCAAAGAGATAGACAGAGGCAAAACACACATATTTATTTTTATAGTTCTGTGTTAAATCACTGCAACTGGTGTGACTTTTCTTAACAGAAAGTGAATCAAGAAACGATAAACCTCTAAGAATATGAGTGTATTAGAGAATGACACTGTAGCTAACAGGTTTGAAAAGCCAAATTTTACACTAATAAATGTTAAAGTTTAATTCTCTGAAGACCAGAACTCAACAGCAGGCATAAAAAAATCATTTTAGAGCCAGAAACTTCTCAAACAGAATGATCAGATCTTTAACCGACTGACGGTCCTTGAATGTATTGTGTGTGAAGAGCAGCTACATCTGAAAAAAGTAAACAATTGTGTTACATGTCTCCTTTAAAAAAAAATTAAAAATCGCCATAAATAAACCTTAAAAAACTGTTTCTGGGGCATCGCACAAACTCAATGGGTTAAACAGGCGACCCATACACGAGGGCTGAAGTCTCCGATGCAGCGATCATGGTTCAACTCTGACCCACGGCCATTTGCTGCATGTCTTTCCCCCACACTTCTCCCTGCTTTCCCTCCCTCTTCACTTACCTCTATAATAAAGGTGAAAAAGTTTTTAAAAAATAAAATAAAAATTTTTAAAAATGACTGTTAATCAAAAAATTCTGCACAACTCGGAGAAACAGAGAAGACATAACTGACATGACAAAAATTCTGCAAATCAGAGTGAGTGACAGGAAAATAAAATGGATTTGATGAATAAAAAAATAATGACTTGAAAACTGTATCCAGAGGAGCAAGTTATCAGCAATGTGTTGGAAGATACATTCAGCATGGTGAAACCTTCTGTCTACAAGTGACGAGCAGAGGAGATTGAAAAACAAGTTTGTAGAAGTTGGTAAAAAGTACATTGATAAATGTCTATAGTATGTAGAGTCATCATTTTTTCCAGTCTTGGTAACATCTGAGGACACTTGGAAAATGCTGTACATGTTGACTCCAAGTTTTTTGGATTAAAATACATCCATCCATCATCTATACAACGCTTCATCCTCACTAGGGTCGCAGAGGGGCTGGAGCATAACCCAGCTGACTCCGGGTGAAGGCAGGGGACACCCTGGACAGGTCATCAGTCTATCACAGGGCTACACTTAGAGACAGACAACCAAGCACACTCACATTCACACCTACGGACAATTTAGAATCACCAATTAACCTCAACATGTTTTTGGACTGTGTGGGAGGAAGCCGGAGAACCCGGAGAGAACCCACGTTGCACGGGGAGAACATGCAAACTCCACACTGAAAGATCCCGGTGTCCTCACCGGGACGCGAACCGGCGACCTTCTTAATGCGAGGTAACGGTGCTAACCACTGAACCACCTTCCAAAATAAAGAAATTCAGTGTCCACTTTTAAAATACATATATATATATATATATAAAGCATTATCATTTATGGCATTTTAACTGTCATATAGAGCAAAAGACATTTTTGAGTTCTCTCTCTCTCGTCATGGTTGTGCTGTTTCCACAGAGCTGAAGGACTGTATATGTGAAAAATGAGCCCACAGCGACAAAAAAATGTGACAGGAGCAAACAAAAAAAAAACATCTAAAAGCTGATCAAGGTTTCGAGGGTTCATAAATGAGGGGTGTCAGTCAGTAAACCAAATAAGGGATGCAGCTGCATCTGAGGGGAAAAAACACAGGAAATACAACAAACTGCTGAAAACAAATTAAAAGCACTCACCCTATACTTTCTTAGCAAGTGGAGGACATGGCAGCTAAAAACCTATTATTTTTGGGAAGCTTCTAGATGTTAGATGTTGAAGTCTCTTAAAAAGCATCATCTGTGCACCCAACGCCTCATATCTCATACGTCTGTGTCACAGAGCTCCACTGTTAATTAAAAACCATTAAAAACACATCAACAAGCCACACGGCCACAGTGGGTGACATGTTCTTTCATTACCATGAAAACACTCACAGTAGTTTATCTTAATCCCACATTCATCATCCTGCTGCTGGAAATACGCACTGCAGCACCAAACGCAGGTTAATCCGCCGCTGAAAGTAGTCCCCAACAAACACCTTCTGTTTGGAACATTTGTTAACCGTCTGAACCCCACGTTTTGTTTTTTTTGTTTTTTTTTGCTTCTGCCACATTTTTCCTCACAGTTGGTTCATTTCCCCTCCATGGAAACAGCACAACCGTGGCTAGAAGCAGAAACAACTCAAAAATGTCTTCTGTGGAGGACGACACAGTTATAATGACATCAATCATACAAAAGAAAAACTAAGTTGAACTTCTTTGATGATTCATTTTATAAAAATGGACAACCAGGATTAAACATGTTCAACATGTGTGCACACAGGTGTTACCAATAATGGGAAAAAAGGTACCTCCACATATTTGATATTTAACTATGTGCATTTCTACAACCTATACAAACTCAGTGTCTCTCACACTACTCTAGAAAGATGTTTCACCATGCTGAATGTATCTTCCAACAACTTGCTCCTCGACATACTGTTTTTTAAGTCATACTGCATTTATTTTATTGATTTAGTATGATATTTTGCTCTCAATCTATCTCATTTGTTTCCATATCTGTTCTGTATAAACACAGCCTGCAGTTCAGCCAAACACTCAGAATTTTTATCACGTGTTGCTCAGTTTTTTTACCTTTTTTTTTTTTTTTTAAACTGCAAATGGTAAATTTTTAAATGAGACACGTACGACAAAATGATTTGGATGAAATATCAAATTTTAAAGTTTCGATGTGGAGAATTTCTTTTCCATATTCTGGCTGACTAATGTTGTATTTTTGGAAATTTAAAAAAAAAAAAAAACTTCCAAACTTGCCAGACTTCTTTGGATTCAGAGGGCATAAAGTACAGTGCCATAAGCATTAAAAAAAAAAAAAAAAAAGGCAATACATGTGAGAGACGTTTCTAATGATTTACATCTTTAGTAGGAACCAATCGGTTGACCAATCAGAGAGTACTGAAATAGTACATACTGTAAACAAACTAAAAGAATAATAATTATAACTAAAATTGTTTTTTTGTTTCAGTAACTCTAAACAGAACGGCTCACATATTTAGAATCTTTACGGTCTGTATTTCTGGTACCCACCATGCATGTCCATCATCCCCGGAGAGGAGCTGTTCTCTGGAGTCGTCACCTCTGAGCCGTATTTCTCATCTTTGCCCTTCTTCTTATTCTTGTTTTTCTGTAACAGGGGGAAAAAAATGCACAAAAAAAAAGCTCCAACGTGTAATCAAGCCATGTAAAGACAAAGAAACAGCTGAAAACATGTGGTCACGCTGTGGTTTTACTGCTGATAATGAACTCACGTCATCTGATTTGGGCTCCGTCACCGGAACCCACTTGTAGATGCGAAGGGACGTGTCTCCAACAGTCACCCATTTCTTCTCCCTGTGAGAGGAAAAGAGGCCCCGGTACAGTATAAGTGTATAATAACAACGTAAAGCAAAGCAGCTGTAACTGTAGTCATTCTGTCACCTATACTGTAGGAATCTGAAAATCAATGAAGAGACACTAGAATCATATGAGCTACTATGTGTACATGAAGTTTATTATGAAGGCTGCAACTAAACATCATATTTATTATTATAAATTAAACTTTTCATTCATATTTTTTTTATGAATCAAGTCATAACATACACTTTAAAATAAGGAAAAATGCGATAAATTCAGCTTCTCCATTGAATCTTGGCCTTCTTTCTGCTTTTTTTTTTTTAATGATAGCAAACTACAACTGTTTGAATTGAACTGTTATTCGGACAAATCATGACATTTATATGTTAATGTATTGACAGGAAATGTTCGATGGACAGTTTTCGCTACATTTTCAGTGAATTTTGGGGAGGATTTGTTTTAAAATAATAATACCAATAATAAGAATTGAATACAATGACAATTTCCTGCTGTTGATATACTCAAATATATGATTTTGTTTGATCAGTGGTTAAAGAAAACTACTATTAGTGAGAAAACCTACAATTATTCAACATTGTCAAGTGGATTTTAACAAATTCTTAGCAGTTTTGCTTAAATATTATTTAAATGGTTAATCAACTAAAAAAAATGTTGATTTCGTTTTCATCAAGTTGACTAATTGTTTCAGTTCCAAATTACAATTTAACAACACAGAACTGCCAGTAGGATCCTGTCAGACAGATACAGATAATAAATGTCAGACTAATGAATAGTGCTGTTCTGTTCTTGCCTACATGTCGTGTTCAAGTTGATCAATCATTTCATTTCCAATATTACAAAACTGACATGTGGATAGTGTTGAAGTGATTAAATAATAATTATTAATGGTGCTGCAACTAATGAATATAATATCTATGGTTTTCTTGTCCAAAAGGACTACTGTACATCCAAACTATCTTATTTTGTTCTATCAGTTGTTAGAAAACTGTGCAATGAAGAAAACCTGGAGAAAAAATCTACATTTGAGGACCTGACCAGTGAACTGTCTGTAGTTTTGCGTTAATAAATGACTTAAACTGTCATCAACAAACAGCACCGATTTGGATAGTGTTAAAGTGAACACACAGAAAATCAACGTGGGGCTTATGAACGGGGGTACATTATTATTTAATAATTAATCAAATAACTATTTGCTGGACAAAAAATTAGAAAATAGAAAAAAAAGGAAAAAATTCCCATTGTTGATGTTATTTTGCTTGATCAGTGGATAAATACTAAATTACAGAAAAAGAAAAACTCAATATAAACCAAGACAAATTTGCATTTGTGAAGCTGGTAGTACTGGATTCTGTGTAGTTCTGAAATATTTTGATTTATTTTTTGTTTGGTCAGTGGTTAACACTATTAGTAAGAAAATCAGACAATATAACCCTTGAAGCAGTCTGTTTGGCCTAAAAAACTACTGAAATGATTCGCAAAATGGTTGTTGATTTAACTTTATGCTCTAGTTAATAAACATTTCAGATCTAAAATTAGAATTTAGATGTACAGAAGAGGCAATAGGATACTGATAGGAAAAATTAAAATCAACAACCAATTTCTTAATTAATCAAATTATCATTTGATCTATAAGAAGTCAGAAAACAGCTAATATATTTGTCTTCTTTTGTTTTATTAAGGGTTAAAAAAAAAAAGCAACTATGAATACAAAAAACTGAAAATATCAACATTTGTAAGTACATTCTTGCCATTTTGCCGTAAAAAAAATGTATTTAAATTAATACTCAATTGGCAAAATAGTCATTGATTAAACGTTCTGATCGAGTGGAGAACAGCTGAGACACATTCAGATGTCTTGTTTGTTTCCATCACTGATTCCAATTAATTATTTTTTCTTTTTTTTAAATGCTTCCAACAATCAACACATGGTTGCTGTTTGAATTTGCAAACTTATCTTTTCAGTTCCAAGCAATTTTTTTTTTTTTTAATTTTTAAAATACAGGCTGGACAACAGTAAACAGTGTCTGCTTTAAAATCAACATAAGAACTATGATTAGCAGCTCACAGAGGTTTTCAATACAGGATATTGTCTTGATTAACAAAACCATTATATGCAATATAAAAAGTCAGAAAGAAGAAAAAAATGTGAATCGCCAACTGGGAGGAAGAAAACCTGAAACCAGTTGGATTTGTGAAGCTGGTGCAACTGAATGTTGGTGGTTTTGACATATTCAGATGTCTGATGTTGTTGTAAAAACAAACACATGATGACAAAAGAACTGTGCAATGAGGAATAAATCCTAACAATTACAGCTCATCTTCTTGATTATTCACATTGTTGTCAATTCATTACTAAAACAGGTTAAATATTTGATGGATCCATAAATTGATTGTTTCCTCTGAGTCCCTATAAAGGAGGCTCACTTCATGTTATTGACACTAGTTTACATCTCAGAAATCATATTACTGGAGCAAAACTTAAAAAAAAAAAAAAAAAAGGTCAAAAAAAGACTAATTACAGAAAGCATTATATTTAATTTAATGTGCTCTAAATTCACCCTAAAACAGATTATGCTTTGATAACTACTTTTCCTTTATCGCCTGAAAATGAGTTAAAATTATTGTTAAAGCTGTAACTTTGACCTGGGGACGTTTGATTAATCCACCTGATAAACAAAAAAAAACACATTCAATCCTGCCACCGTGCGGGGTTACACGGGTAAACATAACAACAGTACATTCTCCTGGTGAACATGTGTAAGTGTGAGCCCAGAAAAGTGATAAAAACGTGTTTTTCGTGTGTTAAACGTTCAGTCTGAGTCAGTACGTGTTCAGCCATGCACTACAGCAGCTACTTCCCTCTCCCAACCCCCACCGAGCCTTGTTCTCTATCGGACCTAAAGGGCGACTCAAAGCGCTTAATTTAAAACTCCACACGGACTAAACTGCTCCGACTCAAGAGCGCCGTCGTCAAATTGTTTCCAAGTCCGGAGTTATCGGACGTTTCGGTGCTAAAACCGCCGCCTGAGCTGCGAGCTCGGCAGCGGGCAGCAATGGCTTCATGTGACTGCATCGAAATGGCTTCTGGGTTCAACCCTAGCCGTTAAAATCAGCGGAAAAAACCACCGGGAACATGCCGTATGTCTGAGCCGGGCAGCGAGGCGACGGCACGGAGCGGTGCACGGCGCTACTGCGCCCCGGTGCACCTGAGTACATCTGCCGTGAATCCCGTTCAAAAACTGTCCTTTTCTTTCCATTTCATCCCTCCTCACTCCGTCTGCTCCTTCCCTCTCCTCCCCCAACAAGCGAGCCTTTCTCGTGTTAGATAACGAAGCCTGCTGATTTCTCGTTCTCTTCTTACCATTTTCGTACTTTCTCAATAGCGGCCATGACCCTCTTGATGTCATCTTTCGCCCTGCTCCGGGTCTCAGCTCGGACCGACCTGCCCGACATTGCCGCGGTGGTATAATATTTTTAAAGCTCGCCGGCAGTTCAGACACAATGCAAACAGTAGAGCGCACAGAGGAGCCAGTGCGCCTGCGCGGACTGCTGGAGCAGCGGGAGGAGGGGGAGGAAGGGGGAAGAGGGGGGGGCGGCTGCAGCTGCACTGAGAACAGAGAGTGAAGCAGAAAGCGAGTCCTGCTGGGAGAGAGAACAAAGAGGCTGCACACTGAACCACACACCGGCCTGCATCCTCCAACTTTCAGCTGGAACCTCACCGATGAACACTAACTCCTCACACACCTGCAAATTCTGTTCAACAACTCGGTCTTAAAGGCGTCAGAGGCAGCGGTGTGGTGCCTGGAGGACAGGATGGACTCTGAAAAGTCGCTCCAGTGATTTGTCTTAAAATGATTTAGATCATTAATCAGTGAATAAAATGGTTGTTTCATTTTTCTGATCAAGTTAACTCGTTTTGATTCCAACTTATACTTTAATAATACAGAACTGCCAATAATCAGTGACCTATTTTTTCAACTAACAAATGTTTTAAATATCAATGATTTTCCTGATTGAAACAAATTATTTGTACGACAAAAGTCAGATTTTTTTTTTTTAAAGTTACAATTTTCCATTAACATTGTGTCAAGTTTGGTCAGCCTTGTTTTTGTTGTTGTTGTTGTTGTTTTTAATGACTTAAAGAAGTAAGCAACTAATAAATGGTAGTCCATTACATTTTTTCATAAGTTGACTCAGTGTCAGCCACAAAATTTAAATTTACGAATACAGAACAGATTATAGGATACTTTTAAAGTGAAAACATATTAACTCAATGTGAAAGGTATAAACAGAGGAGCTTTATTAATTACTTTTTTGACTAATCAAAATATTATTTGCGTTACAAAAGTTAGACAATGGAAACAAAATGTCTCCTTTTACCGCCCATGACAGTTTCACATTTCTCTTTTTGTCTGATCAGTAGCACATAAAAAACCTACAGATAATTATTGGTGGTTTTGCTTTAAACGAATCCTTCATTTATCATTTAGAAAAATGGTTGTTGATTTAGTTTTCTGCTCAAGTTCACTTTTTAATTTATTTTTTTTAAATTTCACATTATAATTTTAAAAAACCGAACTCACTATTGCCAAAGTGAAAACAACATGGGAATCTGCACATCTTCAACAACCAGATAATCAGCAACAGGCCTTAGAAACAGCAGTGTGCTGCCTGGAGAAGTGGACATACTCTTAAAAGTAACCTGTCCAGCAAAGGATAAACTCCATTTGTTATAAACAGCAGCATGTAAAACTTCTTTTGCATACTTAGTTCAGCCACTTGCACATTGTCACTTTCTGTTCTCTTATGGTGAAATTGCATTTGTATTAGGTATGTCCTGCTTAAGGTTTTTGTTTGTTGTTTTTTTTGTTTTTCCCCTGATTCAAGACATTTATTGTTTAGCATCTGGTAATCCCGATTTCAAATCAGATACCATTTTTACTTTCTCTCTATTACTGTCTATGGACATTTTTTGTGCTTTTATGATTTGATTTGTATGAACTGGTGTTTGTTCTGTTTCTTTATATTGAAATTCTCTGTTTCATTATTTTTGGCCTGACAGGCTCTCTGGTTCTAATATTGTCTTCTTGAGTATCCTCTTTTTCAACCTGCCTGTTAGCAAAGTTATTATTATTTTCCTAGAAAATACACACTTTAAGTAAATCAAAGTTTTTAAAACCAACCCAGTGTATGTGCTTGACAACTGAACAGCTCTAGAAAAAAAACACATTTCTCTCTTAAGCTGTTCCTGAATGTTACGTAGGTGGTCACAAACCTTGTTGTAAAGTTTTTGGAGGACACTATCTGAAATGTAAGTGTGGAGAGGACAGGGTGCACTGGGGCTCCACATGCACTACAAGATAGTAAAACCTTGTATCTGCTACATGCATGCCAGAAGATATCGTGCATGTGGGCATTGTCACTGGGTTCAAACTTTATCTAATCCTGCCCCCTCACTGCCAGATGCTTCCAGGTAAACCGATCAGAATGAGCAGCTGCCTCACAGTCCATTAGGTTCATTTATTTTCTACAGATGCTTCTTCCAACTCTGATATGCCTCAGCCACCAGCAAAACTCAAGAAATATTCTGCGGCTGTCTGCAAAAGGGAACACAAGAGTCTTAGCACACTCCCAGCACCTGGAGAACTGAAGATCCAACTGATTACTTGTATTTTTGATGTTAATGTCACTACAACAATAGGATTAGCACACTTTGCAGCCAACATGGCTACAGGCAGCTTTGATGGTCTGTCCACAGGTCAGAGCAGACAATCAGAGATGGTGAAAACTTTAATTTAAAACCAATAAACCAGGACTGTGTGGGTTACTGTGTTTTTATGTTCCGTGCTTCAGAACATCGGAGACCCGTTTAGACTGTTACCAGGTAAATGTGAGTTTCAGTTACAGCCAGGCCTGGAAGGTTAGTTGCTTCATGACCAGCGGTGGTGTCTAGGAACTGTGGGCTCAGGTCTTATCTGCACATTTTTAATGTTTTGTTGTCATCACAACCAACATTTTGTTCTTAAACATATATTCATCCTGATCTACGAATGAGACTCTCAGCACACAAAGAAAAATTATGTATTGACTTAAGTCACATTCGTCCACTGGTGTAGAGTCCATCCTCCCAACCACATGGCTCCAGGGTCAATCCTAACTGTTCTGCCTCCTCTATGTCGTCCTTTAAAGAACGTGTCAACTGCATTTGGACTGAACAATTTTACATGAGTGTGTGTCTTTACACTTGTAGTTTATTCCCACTCAGCAACGGAGAGAATCATTTATTGATTTCATTCAAAACTAATTTTTGCAAAATGATCAAAAAGTCAGACAAAAATATCACAGACAAAACCCTACAAAGAGACAAAAAAGCCACTAGAGACAAAAAACGACCACAAACAGACACAAAATCTCCATTAAAAGACACACAACAGCCCAAAAAAATCAAAAGCCACAGAAAGAAAAACAAAACAACCACCAAAGATACAAAAGGTATACAAAAAAACACAAAACAGCCTTAAGGAGACACAAATCCTCATCAATGAGACACAAAACATCCCTAAAAAGACCCAAAATAACCACAAAAAGACATAAAATCTCCACAGATAGATGCAAAACAAATGCATTTCAGATATTTTTGGTTACCCCTTGACCTTTCCCAGTGTGTCAACGTTTTTTTCAATTGTACACAAAAAATATGAATATGTTCCATTAGATAATATTACATTGTGGTCTACCGCCTCTCTATGAGAGCATTTGACTAAACCTTGAATGAAGTTGATATAAAATTCAAAGGGATCATGTTGCCCTCTGGGGGTTTAATAAACAACTGCAGGAAAAAATGAACAAAGACTGTAAGACTGTTTTATACATTTATTAACAACAAAAACACATAACAACAAAAACAGGACTGCTCTTCAGTTGAAGAATATAGGAAATGTTTGTCACTCTGTCATGTGTGTGCAGCATGCAGAATTGAATAACAAGCTTCTAACACATTATAATGTAGTTGGAAGCAGAGGCATGAGCATTTTGAAGTGTTTATCAATGTGCAACTTTTTCCAGCAATTATAACTTCTCAAATGAAGGCATCTTTTGTGTTACTACAACTTTCGTGTTGTGTTATTGTTGTTTTTGTGGTCATTGTGCTTGACTGTCTTATGTATTTGCTTCTATCTACATATAGCTTTCACTGACATCATTTTGTGATAACCTTGCAATTTTTTAAGGTAATGTCTCTCTTTTTGGTTATGTTATATGTTTTTGAGATTGTTTAATCTATATTTGTAGTCATGCTGATTCTCTTTACAGTAGTTGTGTTCAGTTTGCGTGATTGTGTCAAAATTTTTTGCATTTTGAGGTTGTTTTGTGCTTCGTTGTGGCACATTTACGTCTCTTCTCAGTCAGTAAAAATATAAATAATTACAAGCCCCCCTGTGATGCACTAGTTTAAGACTAAATCTCTCCAACAAATCCATCTCAGCCATCAATATTAACTTCACCTCGACATTTCCGACAGCACGAGAAGGCGGCACGCTGCTGTTGAGGAGTGACGTCCTGCGTCATCACCATGCGACACGTCAACACGCCGCTGTTTGCAGGATGAGCTAACACTGTGCAACTCAGCAAATAGAGGCAACAAAACTTTTCACACCGAATTTAGCGTCTTTCTCCTGCTTCTCTTTGAGAAGTGTGACTGCTGTTGTTAATTTTAAACATTTATTTCAAGTCTTGTGAGTAACTGACACTGAACCGCCTTGGCGGTTCTGGCATGTGTTCGAAACATTAGGACTCACTAAATCCTGTAGAATTCCTCTGTTTTTGTTTGGACATTACGAACTGAGGCTGCTTTCAGAATGAATGAAGAAGGTAAGCTGTCTCTTGTGTCTGTTATCCAGCCATGTTTTGTGTCCAGGAATATTAACCTCAGTATGTCGTGGTGTCCCCGACAGAGCTGGTCGAGTATTTCAGGGCTCAGATGAGGAAAGACCCAGACATGGCCTCTGCTGTGGCTGCCATCCGCACTCTGCTGGAGTTCCTCAAGAGAGACAAAGGTGGGTTTACAACAGTTTTTATATCCTCCCTGTAAACATAGTGTAGATATGACAAGTCAAGGTAAACTTGTGTCAAATCTATCCCGGGAGCAATGTAGTGTAAACTAGAAAAAATGCAGAGAAATTGCCTGTTTGGTTTGGTTTTAGCTGTTCACTCAAATAAAATAGTGAAGCTGTCTTTATACTCTGTGTGGTATTCTCGCCGAGACTTGACAAGTCTCAGTAAAGTGGGATTTGATCTAGATCTAGTGTAATGTTGTATAGATGTGAAAACAATAAAATGCCACCTTTTTCGTTGTTTTCACAAAAAAAATTGTGTTTTAAACAGTCTTTATAGTCTCCCTGCTAGCCCAGTCTCGACTTGAGAAGTCAAGGTAACATGGTCTTTGATCTAGACCTAGTCCAATGCCGTCTAGATTGGGAAAAAGTTTGTAAAATTACATTATTTTCACTGTTTTCAGAAATGAAGTAACATTTATACACTCTCTGATAACT